TCGGGGCGCCCGGCCGGGGCTGGACGTGCTCCCGCCGTCGTGGCCGGTCCCCGCATCCGCTGCGCTTTTGGGTCTCCCGCTTCCTGTTGTGAGACTGCGAGGCGAGAGAGAGAGACGGGTATTTTTTCCCCGCAAATCTGTCCTGACTTCTGCCGGTTACTCTCCCGCACCCCTCGTGTGCTCGAGGAGCGGAGACTTGAATTTTTTTTCCTCCTAGAGCACCACTCCTTATTCTGATAACTTCGTCTGTCCGCGTCTTTGGGCTGTTTCTTTCTTTCAGCTGTGGGTGAGCAACTGCAGCAAAATGAGCTAAGTAGGACCCTGCACCGACGATGTTTATCAATAATTAGGTAGGGGATGAAATTGAGGAAGCGTGTACATTCCTAATTTCCTTTCTCTTCAGGATTAGAATAAAAATCAGTGTGGAATCGTATTGTATGTTCTTTATTTGCTATTTAAAAAAAAATAGTCTACCTCTCATGATGTGATGACCTGGCCTCTATGTGAACACTCAGGTCTTCAAAAAAAAAAAAAAAAAAAAGAGTTGTTATTCACGAATTTAAGTCCAGAGTTCTTTTCCTATTATTGTTCTTTTCTAAGGGTTTATTACAGTACTGTGAAGTCTGAATACTTTCAAAAGAGCTATTAGCACTGTGGTAACATTTTTAGTGCGGCATTTTTCCACAGGTGAAGATCCCACTGAGTTGAAGTTAATCCCTTTTGATGTTAATAGTATTGTGCATGCATGTGTATGGCTAGAATGGACTAAAAGGAGGTTACTGTATGAATGATTGCTGATTGACGTGGAGGGAGTTGGTCTGAGGATTTGTCATCTTAATGATTGTGATTTCCAGAAACAGCTTCTGAAATAAATCACTGCCAGGGGAAAAGTAATGGCCAGCTAGGGAGTAAACTTAGCTGAAGGTGCTTTGATACTGGTAACAACTAGCAAACAGTTCAATTAGGATGTTTATTCTTCTTGTAAAGCTGTCTAAGACCCATTTTTAATTAAAAGCATGTAACTTAATAGCTGTTTCATTGGCATGTAGTGCTTTGCTTAGCTTTACTGCCTCGTTTTGCCGTCTGCTAGCATGGGTGCTTCCAGAGTGTTAGTGAAATGCAACAAGCACATAGTTCTGGAAAACTTAGCCTTTAGCAAATTCTCATAAAGTTACTTATATCCAGGCCTTGGGAGTTTGGAATGACAAAGTACTTTTTTAACAGGAACTATCTAAAAAAATAAAGCTACATCCTTTGTCATGATACTTTTAAGTTTCAAACAGCAAATAAATTCAGTCCCTAAGCTATGGAGCCAACTGGCTGTAGAACAGACCCAGTTCAGAACCTCTTTTGTAGCATCCTGGGTTACCCAGGAATGGCCCTGAAAGGGTATTCAGCCAAAGTGTTCTGCTTCAGCTGCTACTTTCCTCCCTTCCAAGGTTCCATTTCTGCTTGCCATGCTGTCTTATGTCTGGTATTAACTTCTGTGGTGGGAAGTTGAGCTGCTTTCTCTTGCTTAAATGGCCGTGTTCTGCTGAGTTTGATTTCCTTTGGGCTTAGAATATGACCTTCCCTACCAGGTTTGCAGATGTTATGGATCTCAGAGTTTATATCAACAGTTTGTACGTGTGGCAGATGAGCTTGCATTGTAACAATGTCATTTCGAATGGTCTAGACAAGATTTTTCAAAAATGTACGTATTCTGTGTGTGCACAGGTTGCAGGTGGAGAAGAGTTCAAACTTTTTAACAGCCAGAGCCAGGTGGAATAGACTTCCAGGCTTCACTCCTTTGGAAATGTACCTTCTGTTCCACTTCTAATTTGATAAATCTCCAGCAATTGCAGCCAGTTCATACTAAGTTTCTGACTTTTTTTTTTTACCACTTTTTGATATATCTTAAAAGGTGGGAGCAAACAACGGCAACTCTCTGAAGCCAGCCTGACTTGTTGATGTCTGTTAACGGTGTTTCAGTGACAACACTGAATAGCTCTCATTTAGAGAGGGTAACCTGAAGAATAATTGTTGTACTTACTATGTTCATTGTGATCTGAATCACTTAGTGAGTTTTTATATGAGTTTTTTGTGTGGCCAACTCCCAAGTCATACATTTAAGGATGAAGAACGTGGGTCATAGGTGGAAAATGGATAAGTGTTCAGTGGGAAGTACAGGCATTTAAAGGAGGTATTGTGGGTTGTGATTAGTAATAATTTGAACATAAGTTCTCTTTAAGTCATTGTTCAAAAAATCAAACCAGTTATGTAAATAACAGATAGAATACATGACAAGGTAATAAAATCTTTCCGTAGTTGGTGCTTATGGGATTCCTTTTTGAATTGTGTTCACTTTAGACATTAAACTTTAGAAAGTTGATAGCAGTAATCTGAAAGAATTTAAAGTCACAAGAACTGGGAAGTATGTTTCAGTACTAAAGATGGATCCCTTTAAGCATTAAAAAAGGGTGGGGAGCAAAATAGGGTGGTGACAGATGTATGTGTAATGCGAAAGAGAGCAGATACTAGTGGCTATGAAAGGGTTAGTGGCAGGAAAAGGGTCTAAATGGCTTATGTTTTTAATAGTTATGCCTGTAGTGTACAGCATTACTCTAATTATTGAAAGAGGACAAGCTTTCTACATTTTGGTTTACTGTGTGTAAATTTCAGTAGGATAAAAATGATTTTACTAAAAGTTGTAGTGTATAGTGTATTTGCCATTAGATATTTTTAAAGCAAGATTGAGTGCTTTCCTGAGAAGGATGTACTAACTCAAATGTTGGTTTCATTCTAGAACTGATCTTAAGTTGGGGGGGAGCGAGAGGAGAGAAGGTAGGCTTTGTTCCTCATTGCAGGCAAAATTAACCCAAGAAAAGCAGTGTTGGAAAAACTGTTCAATTGTGTACTCGCACAATGGCTGGACACAAGAAAAGGGATAGGAGCGAGAAAAGGGGATGTTGGAAGGATGTGATTGTATTATAGCCCGGGCTATATGAGAAGTCAAACTGCATCGTAAGGGGTTATTTCTGACCACCTAAATTGAAAGAAAAGATTCTTCTTGACTTTAAGAGCATTAGAGTTACAATAAACTGCCACGCTTCTATTTTTTTTTTTAAGAGATAAAATGGGATTGCAACTTAAATAACTCTATTTTGCTCTTCCTATTTGGAAGTATGTTCACATTTTTAAAATTATTTCTCATTTAAGCACAGTTCAATTTCACTTACCTGATTTTCTAATTCACTCGGTGGGATAATTTTTGGTGTAATTTGACTCTGAATTTATCTCTCTTATAGGTAAAGAAGATACTGTGCTGTTATCCAGTTGTCATAGTTGATTGCGTTCTACTAATCTTCAAGACTTGCATCGGAGTTAGAGGTAACTTGTGATTTATTTTTTTTAATATCAGAAAATTCACTGTAGGAATTTACTAAATAGGTGAAGTTCTGTGTTGTGTTTCAACTTCTCAAATATTTTTGCCATTGATGTGATACATTTACATGGTTTAAGTTGTCAGTTTCATAATACTATACAGGAAAGAACATATTAATGATACAGTAAGTATTTTGACTTTTAGCAAATCTTAAATTCTGAATTAAAGTTTGTTATGTAAACTCTTCTGTGAAGGTAATTTTTCTAGTGACTTATTTCCTCCATAGACTTCACCTTGTCTTTGAGTATTTTGTAAAGATTTACGGATGAAGTGAAAGCCATATCAACAGAATATTGATTAATTACTATTGGGTAATCAAAAAATAGCCATTCTGTTTGACTAGTGAAATAAGAAAAGTATGTTCTGTGTGTGGTATGAGATTATGGACTTACATGTAATGCAAGTGGGACAGCTCAGCAAGACTATGTCGTTGTTTATTTTTACAGACTTGGGGGCAGGGGGGAAGGCAGAAAGTTTGTTTCCGCTGCAGTGGTGTCTGATGTTTTAGTGGCACTATGCAAACACTGCATTACAGCAACTCTGTAAATGCTGCTACCTGCTCAGCAAGCTGTATAGGCATTGCTGACAATAATGCTGAATAGCATTCTCTAACTTCAATTTACAGCTCAGGCTTGGTTTCTCCATTTTATATTCTTCATGTAGTTCCTTACATCTGACATAGTGCCTTGAAAGTAGAAACAATCAATCAGTTGAAGTCTATGGAATTGATGTGTACAACTTCAAACCCCAACAAAACAAAACTCAAATCCTGTTTCTCTTATCAAATAATTCTCTTCCCCTTCTTGCCTTCTACGCTCCTGTACCCTGGGTTTTTTCCTAGTTCTGGAGGACAGATGTGGCTGGATCTTTCCTCATTCTTACAAGAGTAGAGAACTCAGTTATAGGTAATGTTTATGAGTTCTCATAAAGGAGAATTTCAGATGCCTACCCTTTGCTCTGCATATCACAGCTTCCTTTGATGGTGGCATGGTTTTGTGACTGGACTCAAGTATTTGATGCTTGGAAGGCTTGATGTATGTTAAGTTGGCCTCTTGTATAAATACTGATTGGCTGGCTCTGAATATTCTCAGAAGCAGGTAGTGGTGGTTTGTTGTTTTGTGGTTTTGTTTTTGTTTTTGTTTTTTTTTCCTAGTAGAGATAAGGTACTACTGCCATTCATCTATGTAGTGCTTTCGTTAATTGTAACTTGGCTCTTCAGAGACCTTGCTGTGAAGGAGCATTGCAGGAGGATCTTCTCTTTAAAACTGGAGACTTTTTTGTCAGTGTCTGGGGGATTAACTGAGTGTTTTACATGATACTGTATCTACCATGGTGCTCAATTTGTCTGTGTCTTGTTTTTTCTTCCCTGGACTTTTTTTCTGAAGGGTGTGATGTGGTCTGTCTTTTAACTTACTTTGCTGTTACTAAGTGATGCAGCCCATGTGCTCTGTAAGGTCATTGTTAGAAGACTTTGGCACTGAACAGTAAAATAGGGTTAGCTAAGGACAGTTTAAAGGGAACTATGGATTGCCTTGGTTCTCTAGGTTTGAATCTTCCCTTTTGTTTCTGACGTTGTCTATGTGGTTTTCTGTTTGCAAAGCACTAGTTCTGGAGAAGTGTTCTGTAGGAAAAGATGTTCAGTTACCAGAAAATAAAAATAGACTCTAAAGGAGCGTGGACTCTGAAAGATCAGTTTTATCTTAAATTGCTTTCACTGATGACAAAGCAGAGTTTAACCAAATATTTGTTGTTGAAATGACTCTGTAATTAGTAGTGTTGTACAGCTAAATGTAACACCAGATTTTACTGTAAATTACTGCTATCCCATTACTGTGGCTTGAGAAGTATAGACTGTAACTGTGGTATTCTTTTTAGTGGCCTGGATAAGAATTTGACTACAACGTTTTAAGAATATAGTTTTTGTACTTTTAATAGCATTCTTCAGTATGTATTTAAAGTGCATGATGTGATCTCTCACCACAATGGAAAATTAGAACAGCTTTTTCTAATTTGAAATACTCAGTTATCCTGTATATGGGATTTAAAATACATATTCTTATTGCAAGCTTTTGAATTGGTAATAGGCAGACCTTTCAATTCTGGTTGACTCAGCATGTATCATACTTCTGAAAATCAAACCAAAATTAAATTCTGATGATAAAAATATGCACTTGGGTTTCACATTTGTTGAAATGTTTTTATTGCTTCCAGTTACTCACAAAAGCAAGGATTCATTAATAAAATATTTTAGAATACAATGAGTATGTCCTGCAAACTCCTTTGAGTTTGAATGTTTCAATTTTGGATCTGAAAGTTCTTGTTCAATTCCCAAATACAGTGTTTTGTACTTTGTAGACACTGTTTGTAAATGAACTATTTGCTGTTTCCTCAGTTGAAAGAAGCTGTTTTACCCCCTGTTTAGCTTCTTTCTTTTGAAGTTGTACTTAAATGTTGTGTTTAAATAATACTTCAACTGCTGTTGTTTCATCATCAATCAATTAAAGAAATGTGGCAAAATAGAAATCCTGTATATCATTGATTTTCTTGTAGAGGACTTAATCCTTTTTCTTGTATGGCTTTTTGGATGCTTTTCCTGGTAGGATATTGCATTATTGGACCATGAATCTGAAGCAAATACAATGTCTGGAGGAAAAGGGAGGGGAGAACCCACAACTAAAACCCAAAGAATGTCATAGCATAAACTTCATACTTAAGTCCATGTTTGGTCTTAAGGCTGCTTTGTCCCATCTGTAGTCAACACTTTTGTATTACAGTAATACTTGACAAGAGGTTAGCTACATAATGGTCAGAGATGGCTGCTCAGATCAATCCTGGGGCTGCCACATATCAATGCTGCTGCTACTACTTTACAAAACCCAATTGCAAGTGATTTTAATATTAAACCTGGTTTGGACCTCTAATTATCTCATGTTAATTAATTAAACCTGTTGGATATTGGGGCTCACTTCCACAGTGTGCTTTCTCTACTCTTTGTGTGCTTAAGGATGTGTCTTATAGAAAGCAATTCATGTGTAATCAAATCTGTGCAGTTATGGATTTATTTATTCCCTCCCCCCTTGAGTATTTTCCAAATGCATTGAAATACTTTCATTCAGAGGGGTAAGATGTGTTTCTGAAGACTGAAATCCATATTCTCAATCTTTATCTCTTCATTCCATTCAGTAGAAAAGGTAAAACATAGAGCTTATTAAAACTTTTTTTTTCACAGTTGGATTTAGTCCCAGTGTCGTTTCAGAAAGTAAGGATGCTATTTAAGTTCCATGGGATAACTGCAGAATAGAAAAATGACTTAGAGACTGAATACTTGAGGCATTCAGTAAATTTGCAAATTACACCAAACGGGGTGATAATGTTGATCTGCTCGAGGGGAGAAGGGCTCTGCAGAGAGACCTGGACAGGCTGGATCCATGGGCCGAGGCCAACTGTATGAGGTTCAATAAGGCCAAGTGCCGAGTCCTGCACTTTGGTCACAACAACCCCATGCAGCACTATAGGCTTGGGGAAGAGTGGCTGGGAAGCTGCCTGATGGAAAAAGACCTGGGGGTACTGGTTGACAGCTGGCTGAATATGAGCCAGCATTGTGCCCAGGTGGACAAGAAGGCCAACAGCATCCTGGCTTGTATCAGGAATAGTGTGGCCAGCAGGAGCAGGGAAGTGATTGTGCCCCTGTACTCCACACTGGTGAGGCTGCACCTTGAACACCGTGTTCAGTTTTGGGCGCCTCACTACAAGAAAGATGTTGCATTGCTGGAATATGCCTGGAGAAGAGCCACAAAGCTGGTGAGGGGTCTGGAGCACGAGTCTTGTGAGGAGCGGCTGAGGGAACTGGGGGTGTTCAGCCTGGAGAAGAGGAGGCTGAGGGGAGACCTGATCGCCCTCTACAACTACCTGAACGGAGGCTGTAGGGAGGGGGGGGGCGGGCTCTT